GGAGCGTGTCCAAAGAAGGGCAATGAAGTTAGTGAAGGGTCTAGAGCTCAAGTCTTATGAGGAGCGGCTGAAGGAACTGGGATTGTTTAGCCTGGAGAAAAGGAGGCTGAGGGGAGACCTTAACTGCTTTCTACAACTACCTGAAAGGAGGTTGTAGCGAGGTGAGTGTTGGTCTCTTCTCCCAAGTAACAAGCGATAGGATGAGAGGAAATGTGCCGGGGAGGTTTAGATTGGATATTGCGAAAAATTTCTTCACTGAAAGGTTGTCAAGCATTGGAACTGGCTGCCCAGGGAAGTGGTTGAGTCACCATCCCTGGAGGTATTTAAAAGATGTGTAGATGTGGTTCTTAGGGACGTGGTTTAGTGGTGGACTTGGCAGTGCTAGGTTAACGGTTGGACTGCATGATCTTTAAGGTCTTTTCCAACCTATGATTCTGCCCATTGAATGTTTTCCACTGTTCATTGCTTTTTCTATAAGCAGGAGTTCAGCCATTCATTTTCTGAAAAGTCTGAGATGTATTCTCTTTTTGAAAATTAAAATGCTTTAGTGCTGCTTCCCACTTGTTGTGGGTTGACTCTGCCAGCACCTAAGCTGCCACATAACTAACTGCTTGCTCACTCTCCCCTCTCCAAGCAGGACATGGGAGAGAATAGGAAGAGCAAAAGTGAGAACACTTTGGGGTGGAGATAAAGACAGTTTAATCAGTGAAGGGGAGAGAGAGGAAAAAAAAACCAACAACGTGACACAAAGGCAGTTACTCACTACCTCCCACAAGAAGACTGATGCCCAGCTAGTTTCTAAGCAAAGCCACCTTGAAGACAACCACCACTCCCGCCCCCTTCTCTAACCCTGATTTTTATAGCTGAGGATGATGTTACATGCGATGGAATACCCTTTGGCCAGGTTTGACCTGTTCAGCAATAACCAAAACATTGGTGTGTTATCAGCCCTGTTTTAGCCACAAATCCAGAACACAGCACCGTATGGGCTGCTGTAAAGAAAGTTAACTCCATGTGGCTCTACATGCATGTTCATAGGCATACTTCCCTCCATTTTTATTATGTTGAGCCAACTGGTGCGGGGCAGTGAGAAGAGAGGGCAATTAGGAACAAATATTGCTGTTGTGTAATTATGGTTTAAGCAGAGAAATTCCTATTCAGATGCTTACTCAGTTCATCCGAAAGATCCAGTATTTTCCCAAGCTATGGCCTCATTGAGGATTTTGAGGCTGATTCAATTATTAGTTATAAGGTTGCAAAGAAAAGCTTGATTGCTTCTAGAAATTATTGATTTCATTTTTACACTAGTACTTACGGAGTGCTGTATTGTTGGGCTGTGCTTTAATGTTTATGGCTGAGCACTACTTCATGCCCAATTAAAAAAACAAAAATGGGGGAACATACAACAATCATCAAGAAGAATCATGACTTAACTGCACATACGCTTGTCAGATTAAGTTAATTAGTTTAGATTTGTGATAATCATTAATGCTGTTATTGTTTGTCAGCATTTTTTTGAAGGTGTTGAAGCTCGTGTGGCACAAGGTATACGAGAAGAGGAAGTAAGCTATCAACTGGCTTTTAATAAACAAGAGCTTCGTAAAGTTATAAAGGAATATCCCGGTAAGGAAGTGAAGAAGGGATTGGATAATCTCTACAAGAAGGTAGATAAACATCTCTGTGAAGAAGAAAACTTACTTCAGGTAAACTAAATCATGGCTTAAAAACCTTGTAATGTTTACACAAAGGCCCTTACTGCTTTTGCATATGTATTCTGTGAGAAGTGCCTAGCTTCAGCGTAAATCTGAAAAACCACGAATTTTGAGCTGAGTTTTTTATAACCCCGCTCTGATGCTAGTTGTTGTAACATTGATTTGAACTGTCCTGGTAGAGATAGAGTTCAGAAAGAAACTTCATGATTCTCTAGGTGTCCATTAATGGGTGGTCTCTGTTCTGCAAAATATACTGGAAGTAGGGAGAACTAGATTTAAATGAACTGTTAACCTAATATGAAATTCAGCTGGTACACTATAGCAGAATATACTTTCAATTACATCTTTTCTGGTAGTTATATTATTTAAGTTTTTTCTTATACTCTGTAAACTTTCTCACTGGAGTAAATGATAAGTAGATTTAAGAGTTAAGCATGTATTAACAGCTTTTTAAAGTCTGAAACGTGAATTAGTAGCAGTGTTCTGGTTCAGGATGTTTTCTTTAAAGACAAAAGCAATACCTTTTTAGAGGGTAAGGGCAACTTCCTCTTCTTTACCATTTTCTGCTTTGCAGATTCAGTAGGAGTCCTGTAAACATTAAAGATCTTAAACTTAATTTTTTTAATGCAGCAACTCAATTTACTGATTTTGTTGTTAGCAAGCTTTAGTTTTAAAATGACACCTGAACTGAGAATCAGTTAATAAGCCAGTGTTTTGTAGTTCACATATAGTGTATTGTGCCAGTTGACATTTCCTAAAGTTTGCTTTCTTTGGCAGGTTGTGTGGCATTCCATGCAAGATGAGTTTATACGACAATACAAGCACTTTGAAGGGCTGATAGCTCGCTGCTATCCTGGATCAGGAATTACTATGGAATTCACTATACAGGATATTTTAGACTACTGCTCCAGTATTGCACAGTCTCATTAAGTTCTAGAAAGGAAAGACAAGACAAGCTAGCAAAGTTTGTGCCTGTGTATAAGGGAATCAAACACTATAAATGCTGTTTGTTTTTAAAAGGTGGATTTCCATGTGTATGTGTAGTTAACTGCCATATATGTCAAGTTACACTCCTGCTTCGAATGTCTTACACTCCTGAAAATGAAACCTTTGGGGATTTGTTGCTCTTCTACTGGGTTGAAGTACTGTTTGAAAGCATTAATTCTGTGAAACACTTTGGATATAGTTTTTCCCTTCCCCTAATGTTCAGATACTTTTATTTATAATCCCTTCTCTTGCTAAAGGCAGTAAGCACTACCTTCATAGTATGCAAAAAGGATACTACTGTTTTCACTAATATTTTGCATCTTGGAAATCATGTAAGCATTAAAGACTATCATATCTTTTCCCTTCCTCGTTCTAGAAAGTATGGATGTGGAACTTTATACGGTTGGAATACTGAATTCATGTTCTGAGATGTAAGGTGACTATGGCTATAATTCTTAATTAAACTGTGTTCATCATAGCCTTTATTTCTATGGACTGTTATTTCAAAAAGGTGAAAATGCAGTTATTTCCATTGTTTTGTCTTTGGGCATTGAAGTAGAATTGCTCTATTTCTCGACACGCATTTTTTTTTCTTCCCTTTAGTAAGTATGATCTAGCATCAGTTTACTTTCACCTCATGTAACCCCTCACTCCTCCTGGAGCTTCAGCTGCCTGTGATTCAGGACCTAGATTTTCTGTACAGCTTGAGGAAATTGCTAAGTTGGATAGAGCTGGGGTGTACATAGAATAGAAACAGGCACAGTAAAGGTAAACATGCAGACAGAGGTAAGGTTCTGTTTTTTGAGATGCAGATGCAAGAATAAAAAACAACAGTAATCTAAGAATGTTGCAAAACTCAGAAGGAAAAACTAACCCGCTAGATAGAAACGTGGCAACATTGAGGCACTTGGATTTGGGTGAGCATACTAACACTTCAGTCTTGTAGCTCATTAAATCCTGGTTGTCTTTTGTTTACTATAACCTGCTCACAGTGTCTTTGCACGTGACACAAGGTAGCCAAAGCAACACCAAGGGGAGGTGAGGGTTACACTTAGCAGAAATTCCCTTTCAACTAGTGTAGACAGCTTATAAAAGAACTACCTGTCACTTTTACATCAGACGCTTCAATCCCTGAAGTCTGGCCACAGCAGCTATTCAACAGGCAACTGTACTACAGGCAGTAAGCGTAAAGACCCGCTGGAAAAGGATCGCGGACGGCGGCGGTAACATCCGTCTCTCCGCTCTGGCTGTCGTCGGGGGCCGTTCCTCCCCACGCATATACCGGCAGACAGCTCCTCACTCAGCCCGGCGCTGAACCTTGTGTCAAAGTCCCCAGTGCAGCACCAGGGGTCAATACCCTCCGCTCCTAGCCCAGCCCGCGTATTGCAGCCTCGGTTGCTCGCTCCGAGGCAGCGGAGAGCCCCGCACGCTGCCGCGTCGGGAGGCGCTGTCGGAGAGCCAGGGGGCTCTCGCCCGCACGCCGCGGCGGCAAACGGCCGGTAGCGCAGGCGCAGTACGTCACCCTCC